TTGTTTTAGGGAAACGTCAGGTTTTATTATGCAAACAAACGAAGTGCAATATGCATTTTTATTTTGTCTTTAAGCAACGTCGAGTTTGGTCAGTACTGAGATGGGTGACCATGTGGGCATACCAGGTGCTGTGAACTTGAATGTGTGGGTGGTGTAATGAATAATGACTCTGAATTATTAATCGGAGAGTCGAGTTCTAATTCTCGTTGGGTTTGTTATATTCAATTATGCGCAAATACCCTTGGGAAAGGGTATGGATTTGGGGTCTTTAAATAACCCGCAAAGGGTCGATAAACCGTAGAAAACGAATCACTCAATCAATCAATTATTTATCAATAAATTGAAACGATACAAAAATATATTTGATCCGCCATATTCCATATACCTGACTAAATTACTATTACTATTATTATTATTTATGGTTTTATATGTTATTGTAGGTTCTTTGCCATTCAATAATCTTTATTCCATTTTTCCGCCAATTAGATAACGGGTGAATATGTTTAGTGTAGATATGAACATATATTTTTGAAATTATCTTATATTTTACATTTTTCTTATAACTATGAACGTTAGGTTCAATCCCTGTCAGAGGCAAAATTTTTCTTTAGTAAGACTTCACAATCTAGGCCGGTTGTTATTAGTTTCACTGTTTAACAAAAACGAAACAAAACAGGGATAAGGACTGAAACACATGTACCCGCTATAAATAATATTCATAGAATTAATGAATATATATATATATATATATATATATATATATATATATATATATATATTATTTAAAAAGAGAGAAATCATAAACGTTTTTTGGTTATAATGTGGATTTGGTTTTACTCTATATATTAAAATTTTATTCTTCGGTCTCGTGATCTTCTTCAGGCAAATTAAAAGAATCAATTTTTGAAGGAACAAATTTCCTTATATTCTTTAAATGTTTCATTGTTCATTTTCTGTATTTGGAGTGAGCCTTGATCTCATTTTTGGACTGTTGGCAAAAGTGAATCTCTGCATACGTGGTAATAAATTTATTAGGTTTGGTCTTAGTGGTGTAGATGACACATGTTTTGATGATAGATCCCCACATACACTGAGACTGTCAAATCTATTTTCATTTTTGTGTATCATGTGTGCGCGCGTGTCCCCGTTAGCTTGCACATGAATCAGCATACATGCATATATAGATATATATATATACTAGTAAGAGATAGATCAAGTATCCACCATCATAAAGACTGGAAAATAAAATTGACAAAGATTATTGTTTAAGGTTGACGGACACGGATGTCTTAATTAGTTTTTTTTTTTTTACGAATTGGTCAAACCCAAACTCAAACAAAAAAATTGTTTTCAATCGTTATGAGTCTCTACCAATTGAATAGAATTTTATTAAAAACAATTGTCTTGTAAGTGGAATTTTTAAAGCATTCTGAATGTAAAAATAAAGAAAAAAGTGTGCAAGACAATAAGAAACACTACATGCTAAAAAAAAAAATAGTGAAGTTTTGTTGAAATCGGTTGAAAAATGTAGGTAGCTTTTCTGTAATCTTTTAGTTTTACAATTTATGATTTTTACTTATTGAATACAGTAAAAAAATTGCATATTTTGCTTGTGGTGATTTATAATTAGAATTCTGATTTGAATATATTTTCCACTCGTTGTTTCTAATACAAAAAATATTAACTTTATTTGGGTTTATTAATTATGATCTAACAAATCTTATTCATTTAGTAACCTTTCTGTAATAATAATCTTTTACAATTTATGATTTTTACTTATTGAATACAGTAAAAAAATTGGACACCGTGTGTATTTAAAGTAGTTTCCCGTTCCGGTTATTATTTTTAGTTTGGACTTGTGTATGTTTAGATTTCATTATCTTTCCCTAAAGATAAAGAATTTATTCCGATGTTTGTATTCGTACAATCAGTAGAGATCGTTAGATTATTGTTTAAGGTTGACGGACACGCATGTCTTAATTAGTTTTTTTTTATTTTTTTTTATTTTTTTACGAATTGGTCAAACCCAAACTCAAACAAAAACATTGTTTTTAATCGTTATGAGTCTACTGACTGAATAGAATTTTATTATAAATAATTGTCTTGTAAATGGAATTTTTAAAGCATTCTGAATGTTAAAAATAAAGAAAAAAGTGTGCAAGAGAATAAGAAACACTACCTGCCAAAAAAAAAAAAAAAAGAAGTGAAGTTTTGTTTTATCGGCTGAAAAATATAGAAAATCCACTCCCATATTTAAAGTAACCCACACACACAAACAACCCGATGTGAGTTGTCCCCCTTCCATTTTCACGATGTCTCTTAATCGTGTTTTCAAATTGATTTTGCGCAAAAACAATTATATTTTTCCCATTTTTGGCGCTGTTAGAACCACCACAAGGTAATTTTATGTAGTCCTGTGAAGTTTTGTTGAAATCGGTTGAAAAATGTAGGAAATCCGATCCGTTACAGACACACACACACACACAATCTGCGTTTTATAATAAGTAAGATATATATATATATATATATACATATATATACATGCATATAGATATATACACACACACACACACACACACACATATATATATATATATATATATATATACACGCCTCATATATATATTTTTTTTTTATTATACCCCTCATATATATATATATATATATATATATATATATATGGATCTGATAAAGCCTTCAAAGGCGAAACGCGTAATCAAATCTAGTTTCAATGAAACGTTTTCCATTTGTTAAATTTGTTAAATTTCTTAAAAACTTTGTTGGAATTCTATATCCTATTTTAAACACACACACACACACACACACACACACACACACACACACACACACACACACACACACACACACGCGCGCACACACACACATACACACACATATATATATAAATATATACATATGTGCGAAATATATATATATTTCAACGTGGCTATTATAGTATTGTACGCACCAACGGCACAAAGCAAGGAAGAGGACATCGAATCTTTCTACTCCATGCTGGACAGTGCCAAAGCTCTATGCAAACCACATCAAGTCACCATTATTATGGGAGAGCTAAATGCTAAAGTAGGCAGGGAAATGACGGAGAATATAGCAGGAAGATTCGGACTAGATATCCGCAACGAACGCGGAGAAAAATGAATCCAATGGGGCACAGCAAATGGCCAGGTGATAGCCAACACATGGTTCCAAGAACATGCGAGACGACTATGGACATGGAGGAGCCCAGGAGGAGAAACTAAAAACCAAATTGATTATATAACTATCAAGAAAAGATTCAGGAACGCAAATGATTCACTTCAAGTGCTAACCGTGGAAGCGATCATCGCCCTCTTATATGTAAACTAAGAGTGAAACTGCAGAAATTGAAGAAGTCTAACGCAGCAGCCAAACTGCAAAACAACAAACTCCTGAGCGACCCTAAACTAAAAGAAAAATTTATGGACAGTGTGAAAGAAGATACGAGGCACACAGTGGAAACTCGAAATGAGACGCACTAAGAAACACTTTAGTGGCATCAGCAAACGATATCATCCCAGAGGAGACAAGACGAAGAAGAAAAAACGAATGGATGACTGATGAGATTTTTGACATGATGGAAAGAAGACAGAAAACTCTACCAAGATCCGGAAAGGAGTACAGAAAATTACATACTGAAATAAGGGCCAAATACAGGCAAGCTAAAGAAGAGTGGCTAAACGAAAAATGAGTTGAATACTACCAACAAAAGATATATGCCCAAACAAATAAAGCAACTAACAGGACAGAAGACATACTCGTCAACAGGCTGCTTAAAATCAAAGGATGGAACGCCTATATTAGAGAAGGAAAAATTCTTAAATGCTGGAGCGAGTAAATTGGAGAACTCTTCCACGATGAAAGGGAACAACCAGCAATACAAGGGAACTATCGACGGATCTGGAATTCTGAAAACCGAAGCAAAAGCAGTACTGGCCAAATTGGACAGAGACGAGGCAGCTGGGTCAGACGGAAATGTAACGGAAATGCTTACAGATGACTTTGGCGTAGACAAGATCACCAAAATAACAAATGAAATCTCCAACAGCGGGGATATAATGGAAGACCCCAGCAGATCTATTTTCATAGCAATGCCTAAGAAACCAGACGCAAACCCCATCGAGCAATAAGTCTAATGAGCCACGTGACAAAACTCATCATCCGTATTCTGGTGAATAGAGTGCGCAGCAGAATCAAACCAGAGATAGGACGAGAACAGTGCAGCTTTTTTTGGTGTTGGTGAAAGGTTAAAGTTCTTACGGATTACATTTAGAAAATTACTTTTGATATTAGTTTCAACATTACGGATAATAGGTGGATTAAATCATATGATGTTACGCTTATGGTGTTTCTGTTCATTTTTACTGTCATTGTTTTTTTTTTCTAAATACTCTAAATTTACTTTACGATTGTTTAGTTCTAAAGCCTTTATATATTTAATTTTATTATTATCAAATATTTCATTATTGCTAGAGTTGGTGGATAATCTAACTTGGATTGATTTACGTAAATTGTCTAAAATTTTGTGGTGGTGGTCGTGGTTTGATTCAGGAAAAAGTAGTATATAGATATAAATACCTTACGGGCAGATTGACGAATGTATGGGTCAAGTCTGGTTGTAGTTGGGCGCAATCATGTAGGGTGTGTGGGAATGTAGAAGAGGAAGGTGAAGAAAAGTAAAAGGGTAGGAGAAAAAGATTTAAAAAAAATATGAAGACGAAGAAACAAAGATTTATTCAGAAAAAGAGAAACGACTGAAAGAAAATAAACGAAATCGAAATACACTACACCTTCCACTACACTAAACAGGGTTTAGTGTAGTGGAAGGTGATATTAGAGGATCGTATGAACAACGAGGATCGAATGAACAATTGTCCACGAAATAACCAATAGCCCACAAAACGAGTTTCTTCTTTGTTAACAGTTTCGCTACCGTAAGCACCGAAACGTTTATTAAAATTAGATTAGTGTTGTATAGGTTCATGATAGCCGGTGACCCTTGAGAATTGAACTCGTTGCGGTAACGATCTTTCGTTTTGTGAGACAAGCTTGCAACCCATGTCGTTACGGTAGGCACCCAAAGAAAAAGAAACAGGATGAAACGTGGTGAAAGAAAAAAGAGCTAGGAAGCAAAAATAAACTAGTAAAAGAGGAAGGTGTAAAGAAGAATTGGTGGGAGTATAAATAAAGAAGGAGAAAAATGAATAGAAAGAACAAAGAAGGTTAGAAAGAAGAAAGAAAAAGGACAAAGCAAAAGAACGGAAGAAAGAGCTTATTGAAATCAGATGTGATGGATTGATGAAAGAGATAGGGAGAGTAGGAGAGAGAGAGAGAGAGAGAGAGAGAGAGAGGGAGGGAGAGAAGGACTGGAGAGAGAGAGAAAGAGAAAGAGGAGTACGTGATATATTCAATCATATAAGGGTTCAGTAAGGTTCCTCGAAATTTGGTTAAAATACGAGGAAGATAAGCTTGGTGCTTGGTTTTTGATTGAAGATGAAAATATTTATTTTTTGTAATAAAATTCATATATGGTTGGTTAATTTGTTTGTTTAATGACATATCAACTCCTTATGTATCATATAATGCCGATATATATATATATATATATATATATGCAGATATATAGAAAAATAGGAAAGAACACGTTAGGTAAATAACCCGAAGTTCTTTATTTTTGTTTCTATTTAAAAAAAAAAAAAACAGTGCTCAATACAAACGTAGAGACTAAAATTAAGCTACAGTTGCACAGAAAATTTAGAAAGAATCATAAAAAAACATAATAAAATCCTGGAAAAAGCACGCCTAAAATTAGACAAAAATAATGAAAAATTATGTGATTGTAGAAACCCGGAAGACTGCCCGTTGGTAAATAAATGCCGCATAAAATCTGTGGTATACCAATGCACTATCTCATCCATTGAGAGTCTTAACACTGAAATTATATATATATATATATATATATATATATAAAAATATATATATATAAATTTAAAAATTCATAGTCTGTTAAAAGGTTTAAAAGCTTAGCCCAATTATAAGATAAAAAAAAAAACCCTTTATAATGTCGTCAAAAAATAAATTGTAGTTCAATACGACTCATTTATATACAAACAACCCTTTTAGAAAAACATCTTTAGAGATTTAACAGCGTAACAATAATGCCAATAACTCTCCGTCGCTGAAACAGACTAAACGATATGCGTCTAATGAATGCCATCATTCGCTTTAAAATAGACATCCTGATCCTACCTTTACTTGACCTCTTTCCGAAAGTAATTATTATGTTGATACAAATTGTTAACCCTTACGCCCCTTATTGAAATAATTGCTTCAGCTGTTTTCATAGTAATTAATTTTATGAATGAATATGCTTATAAACCTGCGTAAATTTCAAGATTAGTTATTCCAATAAATTTCCTTTGAGGATGAAACAGAGCTTGATACTTTAATTCAATTTAATTTTAATAATTATATTGAAGTTTTTGTCTCCTGTTTTATGAGAACTCTTATGTAGCGAAGGAATCATATTTTTTAAAAATAATTATATTTACACCCCCCAATATATATATATATATATATATATATATATATATATATATATATATATATATATATATATATATATATATATATATATAATTCGTGCGAAACATTTGCCACTTAGCTGATAGACGCCACCTTCAACATCCTGACTCCAGAGTTTCGTAGAGGACCCTCCGGGAATCACTTCGTCCACTCCTTAGGCTGGACCAGCAATTGATTGTTTATACTTCTTGATTTTTCTTTTTTATATGCAGTTTCTATTGATGAAAGTTTATATATATATATATATATATATATATATATATGCACATTTGGATACGGAACTGAGAAGATATGAAATTTCGAGAATACATTGATCAGCAATGGCATTCGTAACTGAGTCGGTATAAGCACATCGGATCTAACGACGGTTTCTCCTACCAAGAGACGATACAGTTTCGAATCCTACCGGAGGGTGTATTTTTTTTAAAATAAAATTTCTGGAATGTTCAGTCCGTTCTACGATGATAAATATATTGTTTAAAAATATAAAAACAGAGCATCTGCACAAATATGGTTACCTACTAAAAATAACGTTTAAGTGATAAAATCTGCCGGATTAATAAATATAAAATCAATCACTTGTTATATATATATATATATATATATATATATATATATATATATATATATATATATATATTGTGTGTGTGTGTGCGTGTGTGTATGCGAGAGAGAGGGTTTAGATACCTATATGGATGTGAACTGATTTAGGTAGGTAGCAAAAAGAGGGGAGATTAAGAGAAGTGTCATTTAAAATAGAATTATTGATTTTATTGTTTACTAACTTGGAATAATTTTAATAAAATGAGTTCTTTATTAAAGACTTCAGTTAACATTATGATTTTTTCCTTGCAGTACTAATTGACCCCTCTGAAAGTCCCATTAAAGTGTTATTTGTTAGTGTATATATATATATATATATATATATATATATATATATATATATATATATATATATATATTGGTATCTAGACTTTAACCCCATTACAAGATCCGCAGCCAGTTCTCATCCTTTTATATTATAAACAGCTAGTTCTCATCATTTTACAGTTGAACCGTAAGTTCTATGCTAACAGTTTCTTCTCTCGCATGTCTCCTTGTGGAACTAATTTCCGGTCTCTTGCTTTCCAATCAACTTTGATCTTAAAAAAATTAATACAATGTTAATCGCTATCTTTTGTCTTCTTAATTCCTGTTCTTTTGTTGTCCTCTCTCGTTAATAATATTTTTTTTTTCCTATTATTCTTTCACACTCAGTAACACCTTGCGTCTTAGTGGCTTTATTGCCTTGCTTGAAGTTAAAATAAAAGAATATATATATATATATATATATATATATATATATATATATATATATATATATTACAAAGATTGTTTTTCGCCTCCAAAAAAGTTCATTTAGGGTAATTCTGGAAGACAACCTTTTATATGTGAGCATTCTTTCTAATTATAATGCTCGATATCAAATGATATGGCGTTAATAATAAATAAATTAAATACATTCACTTATCTTCTTGTCTTTATTTTGTAATTTACTGGTTCTAGTGTAAGATTAAATGTAGATGAATGAATATTTATTGTCTCGCGTCTCCTTTTCATCTGTGAGGAAACTGTCCAGCATTCATTGGCACAAAATAGGATTGATATTACATTCGATCACCTGAACTACTACCAGTCACGATGAACGGGTGTCATCTTGATGAGGTACCGTGTCTTGTGAGTATCAAACTCACATCTGACCTCAAGTAAAACTCTTACATATGATCCATCGCTAAAGATGCAGGTAAAATGATTGACTCACTGTACTACTCTATTAAGTACCTCACTCCTCTGGCTATTATTTACCTTCATAACAGCCAGAACAGGCAGAAAATGGAGTACTGTTGCCATATTTGGACGGGAGCTGCCCAGTCGTTACTGTAAAGTCTTGACAGAGTTCAAATGTCTCTGAGTCTTTGTTGGAGAAGAATTATTTTTCACCCTCCAACCTCTCTCTCTCGCAGGCGGGATGTTGTGAGCCTCTTGTTGCTCTGTTGCTACTTCCATGGAAACTGCTCGGACGAAATACATTTCTTGGTTCTGCTAGTTCTAACCTCTACGGCTATATCCACCATGCCATTTATATTGTATCAAATCACCCACGTTTCCGCCATATTCAATCGGTGAGAAGTAAGTTCCACTTGAACAGCTTTTTTCCGCGAACCACTGCTCTGTGGAACAGAAACCCAAGAGGATGTCTCCACGATCACTACAAGCTTAACCTATTCAAGTATAATATTAACCGTTATCTTCTCCTCCTATCCATACCCCTTAACTCAACCCTCTAATTCGAGTGACCCTTGGGCTTTGTACAGGTAATAAATAAATAAATAAATAAAAAATAAATAAATAAAAAAAACATAGCAGTTCATGACTCTTTTCTTTGTCTCTAACGAACTTTTCTTGTCGCTTAATACGTTGTTTAGCTTTTGAAAGGCATCATTCACTGTTCCAATGCGCTTTCGTGTCTCAGGTTTCCGTCGTTTTTTAAAACACTTTCTAGATATTTGCATTTCTGCATTTGCTTGCTTTTGACGTCTCCAATTCGTAGCTAGCATCTTGGGCTGTTGCTCTTGCTGACGACCAGACATTATGTTTTGTTACAAATGATAGTTAGTCCTTTCTTCCCACTTTCAACCTTGTTTAGGAGTTACTGCAGTTTTCTTTCTGTGTCTGCCATCAAAATGGTGTCATCTGCGTATCATATGTTGTTAATGTGTCCACCGATAATAATTCCTCGTAAGACTTCTAGTTCTTTTATACGATTACCTCGCTCGAAAGTTTAAATAAATCCGGCGAGAAGATGCATTCTTATGATTCACCCTTCTCTATTTATTTGTAGTTGTTCAATACATTTTCTGTCCGTATGTAGACAGTTTGCCTTCAGAAATATTCTGGATTATTTGTGGCATTGTGTGAGTAATCTTGGTAATTATTTATCGGAAACATAGAACATAAAACGAACTGTGTATAAACAAATAATATTTATTTTAGAGTGATGATTTAGACTACAGTGTGAATCCTTTAATATTCGGTGTAGCAAAATGTTCGTTTATAAGGCGGGTATTGGTAGCAGTCTGGAGAAATGTCCGTTTCGGATCGGTAGTAAGTAGTTTCGGAGTTATACCTTACTCGTAGTAATTATCTTAGAAATAGGTCAGTGTCAATCTACCGTGTTTTCTCGGCCCTCAAAAGTGCAGAAATATCATTAGATGAGCACTTAACTACTTCACGCGTCAGGCATGACTGATTTTTTTTTAGCGGTCGTGTCTCTTGTTCGGTGGTTTCTCTTGTCGTTATCTCCTCCTCTAGCTCAGAGCTGTGAGCTTATATCCTTTTGACCAGGCTCTGAGACTCTGGCGCGAACCTTGGTTTCAGCTAACATCAGAAGTCTCTTTGTGTTAATTATTTTGATTGGTCAAAGTAATTTTATTTACCTGTGTTCCTTTCGTTTTCATTTTTTTATATAACCGAAGTTATGCGTGAAGCCAGGCTTATATTGGTAGATTTATAGTCATATAGTCATAGTATGCTCTGGTCCCGCAAGTTTCCGGCGTTTTACGGTCGGGTTCTGTCTTTTATTCTTCTACTTCTTTTTATTATTTAAGGATTGCCTTCTCGTTAGTTGAGATAGAAGTATATACAGAGAAGGAAAAAGAGAGAGAATTATAGATAGATAGATAGATAGATAGAGAGAGAGAGAGAGATAAGGGTTTTAAAGGAAAGCGCAAATGCCTTATTTTAATTTGGATTCTTTCTTTTTTGTTTATACATATTATTTTTATATTTTATTTTATTTTTATCAGGACTCACTACATATTCAAATATGCTTTTCAATCAAATCAAGTTTTCATAACAGTTCAAATAGATTTTGTGTTGTACATTATTAAAAACTTTTGAACATAGATATGGTTTAGAATAGAGTTGATCAGTGATATCTGGCAGTACAATATACCTGTTGGGTTCATACGCTACATTCAAATTAGTTTTTTGTAGGGTACCTGGGGTAACCAACTTTGTTAAGTTATACTAAAGGACACAAAGAAAAATATATGAATAGTAATTGTTAACTAAATTCCTGTAGATACACAATATAATTAAAAATGCTAATATTTTTTCATCTTCCAAATTCAAAAAAGGACAAGGGCAGAAAGTGCCACATAAAGTATTGTCTTTTTTAACAAAGGACGTTTTGGCAAATCCCAGAGATATTTTCTATTTCATTCTTAGATTAGCCAGTGACCAAAACAAGAATACAACTAGGTTTTGAGCAAAGTGTAGAAAAGATAAGGTACATTATTTTCCCATGAATACACAAAAATAAAATTAAAAATAAGAAAATAAACAAAACAAGAAAATAACGATTGGAAACTTTCAGTGGACTCTGCTTTTTTGTCTCTAATAAAAACATGTTCACCTTACTTAAAGGCATATACATGCACATAGATAGAGTATTGAACTTCTGGCGTAAACGAATTCAACAAGAAAAATGGCGACATTCAGGTGAGATATATTTTTATTTTATTTCTTTATGCTTTTTTTGGGGGTGGGGTTGTTTTACTTAGTTTTGTTATTGTTGCTGATGTCTACTTTCACTAAAAGCTTCTTGTTCAGTCCCATCCTATATTCTATTTGCTCACAGCCTTCCGGCATTATTGAACAAAGATAAACAATCTTATTTCTAACCTGAATACACAACCTTAAAAAAAAAGTAATAATGTTATTCACAATCAGGTTTCTTGTGAAAGCAATTGTATTTCTCGGTTAGAGACAGTTTGTCTGTCTGTCTGTCCGTCTGTCTGTCTCGGTGACTCATCAGAGAAAAATGAATTCAGCATCTTTACAGTACTTCCTAGATGAAGATTACTTTTTTTTTTTTATAATGGTCAACTGAAATAAAAATTAAATCAAATCAATGAAATCTAATTATGTACTAACAGCAAGACTAATAGATTTTACAAGCGTTCGAATGTGCATGCAATGCAGCCTTACGCCATTACGTTTCTGGGTAATCAGCAGCAGAGTGGAGAATAATTCTTCCTCACAAGAACGAGTAAACAAATTTGAATTCTATCAAGGCTTGAAAGTAATTTGCAGTCCACATATTTTATTTTATTTTTTTTTTATCTTTTCACCCCAAGCAAGCCGGGAGTGTCAATGGTTCGCAGGGGGTTGAAAAGTAGAGAGAAAAAACTATCTCTAGATGGAATGATGGAAGGATAAAAGATGAACGGGATTCAGGACATCAAAAGATGACGATTGACGTTGCATTTAAATTTTTAAAGATTGTAGTTATCATGGAAGCAAGTAAACGGAAGGGAGAAGTAGCAGTTGCATTTAACTATTTCAACGGTAAAAGGGTGGGATCTAGATGCTACTCTAGTAGCACGCTTAAATTTATGTAGTTGGGGCACCAGGGAAAAAAACTCGACAGTATAGGTGCCATGAAAATATTTGTAGAAAAGACAGAGGGAAGCCACATCACGTTCGTGAAAAAGTGACTGGAGCTCGAGATGCCAAGTTAGGATCGATTACATTGTATATCCTTCTTTGGATTTTGTCGAGAACCTAGAGATGAGCAGCTGGGACACCAGACCAGTTATAGCAACAGTACTCAATGCAAGGACGAATGGTAGATTTTTAGATATGTAAGATTCTGACGAGAAAAAACCTTTTGGCACGGCAGAGTGAGCCAACTTTTCTTGCAGTAGATGCAGCTACTGATTCAATGTAGTTGTTTTACTTAGTCATTCGAAAGCGTGAGGCCAAGATGGCGCAGTGAGACATTATTCTGGAGTCTAGCATCAACCATGTTAATGGCGTGCAGTGAATTATTTCTGTGGTGGCTAAATGAGAGCAGTTTCGTTTTGGAGGCATTAGAATTTACAAGCCATTTCTTACCCCAGTTAACAACAGATTGAAGGTCATTTTTTGAGAGAAGCGGACAGGTTGTCAGCGCTGCCGGGATTAGTTTGGTCTGTTTTAACTTTTGTAAAGATAAAGCATGATACAAGGAGTCAGGTACTTCCTAGAGTAATAGAATGAGCCAACCATTTTTGAAGCATCTTTAGCAATCTTAATGCTAATATTAACCGTTTCTTTATAAGGAAACATTCTGGCCGAACAGCTAGTTCTGCTGTCGGTTGAAATTTATAAGATCTTTTTTTTAAAACAACTTTTCAGAGAAATGGGTTACTCAAGTTCAGTCACTGTTATCGCTCTTTCCAGTACTGCTAGCAACATTAATTTTGGTAAGAGGTGTGTGGAGAAGGAGAAACAATTTCTATAAATCAGAAATCTTTATTTTTCGAAGGTGAATACTTTTGCATACAAAGACGGTGTTGAAAAATTCCCGGCTCGACTAATTAATCTGACCAAATGACGCCGTCCTGGGTATGACGATAAACTGGGTAAGACGATCAACTTTATTCGACGGCAAGGCCTCTGATCAGGAGGTTTTAAGGAGCGTGGAACCACCTCTTAATTGCTGGTGTTCCCAGGTCCACCCTGACCCGGGGTGTTAGCACCTGTTACGGTCCCATCTATGGGCAAATAGTTAACCCCCAAACTGGGGTTAAAAAACTATGAAAATGTGAAAATAGGTTTTATTACCAGCAATACATTTTTGAAAAAAAAAATTATTACCTGCTTTACATTTTTAAAAAAAATATTTCCAGCAATAGATTTTGAAAGAAAAAATATTACCAGAAATAAAAAATTGAGGTTGATATGCCGTAAAATAAAACAAAAATCAAAAAAAAAAAAAATTAATCCCTTCTTGGTTAGTCCGCGGTTTTTCTGCTCTTATATGTACTCAATGGCATCTAATTTTAGAAGTGATAAAATATTTGAATATTTTTAAATTAGTTTTTAATTTTACTCTTATCATAAAAAAAATTGAATTGTCTGATACTTTGTTTTAACAAAGAATGAAAAACCTTTTATCGATTATAATGTAGAAAATGGATGTTTTCAAATATCAGTGTTACATCAAACAGCTCGTCATCTTTGATGTCAGTTAACAAATCAAGAAAATTAAAAAAATTGACAAAAATAAAGTAACAGTCAGCTGAATATGATTTGATAAAAATAAATTCAGGTCTTCTCAATGAAATTTCGAACAAAACTAAAATTTACTTAAAATGCAAAACATAACAATCAAACAAGTATAGAAAAAGACGTTTGAAAGGTGCTTTAACAGAAGACAAAAATGTGACAGTAAAATTTCAAGGTGCATTGGAATAGCGACGGATGCCTCCCAAAAACTTGGAATAGTGAAAGAAGCCTTTCAAAAACTTGAAATAGCGAAAAATGACTTCCAAAACGATGGAATAGCGAAAGACGTCTTCCAAAAACTTGTAATAGCAAAATATGCCTACCAAAAAAACACAGCAAAGTATTAAGAAACAGGAAAATCTCGCTTTTAACAAAGAAAAGTGCTGAACTCCTATATAAAATCAATCCTCCTGCATGTTAGTGAATGCAGGACGGTTTCCTCACAAATGAAAAGACTTGATGCAACAGAGATGTGGTTTTACAAAAGGATGCTGGAAATACTACGGGAAAAGGTTAAAAAAAAAGGATGGGTTTGTTTGTTTAGCGGCATAACGTCTCCTTATGGGTCATTTAATACGGAAATTTAATTTTCTTGGGAGCATTAGTAATTTCTTTTATAAAAATGTATTGCTGGTATTTTTATTATAAAAACGTATCTTTATACTTTCATAGTGTTTTGACCCCAGTTTGGGGGTTGACTATTTTCCCATTTTCCATTGACTCTAATATGTGTTACCACCCTGGGTTAGAGAGGACCTGGGAACAATAGGAATTAAGATGTGGTTGTACGTTCCTCAAAGTCTCCCGATCAGAAGCCTTGCTTACCGGATGTAGTTAACTGCCATACCAAGGACGGTACAAAAAGGACACATACTTAGAAAGAGAGAATTGAAATGTTTTTAGACATGGTGAGGAAAGAAGGATTAGAAAATTTGACACTCATAGTACATACTGAAGGCAAGAGGAAAACAGCGTTTGCCCTACCTGATGAGCTTTTGTAAATGGATGACAGAAGAGGGAAAGGAAGCGACAGTAAAAAGACAAACGTTGGTAAAAGCCTTAAAGAATAAGAAGTTGTGGAGAGCCATAATCGACCATGTTATGAAGTGACACAGCATCTACAAGTGAGTGGTACATAACAGGGTTACATCAATCAGCCGGTGATAGAGTGAGTGCCATCTTCCTTCAGGGTGTGTGCGATCACTGCTCTCCACAACGTCCTTACATGCTGCTCTCAGCAGTATTTGCTCAGTTATCTCCCCCTCTTTGTGGTACTTGTTCTTCCATTCATTTACTCTCTATTTTTCCGTTTTTTTTTCTTGTAATTCATGCCTCCTGAGAATGCTAAATTTTCCAAACATTCTTTTCTCATTGTGCGTCCTAAAATTTTCATCTGTCCCTTTTGTCTTTGTTAGCAACAATTTCTTTGTAGCTTCTATTATCCAAAATACTTTTGCGCTTTTCATATAAATCTATTTGAGGTATTAACAATGTTCATCGGTAGAATCTTATCTCGATTTTCTCATATATTTGTCACATTTGTGACGTCAATGTTCAATATACATTGCAACGTCGGAGATTAGATATTCATTGCAGTCTAGCATAACTTTTTCACTTTTAATTCTTTCTAGATTATTTTTCAATTATGTTCACTATGTAGAAGGGCCCAAGAGCCACTCGAAGTAGAGTGTTACTGAGTAAGAGGCACGGTTTATGGGGATATGTGGTGAAGATAGCGTTTAACCCTTGATTTGTACAGGTTAATATTGCAGTCCTAGGGGAAGCGTCCTATTGGGAGTTGGTTCCACAAAGCAGCGGTTAGTGGAAAAAATCTGCCCGAGTGGAACTTACATCTCACCAATGGAATACGAAGGGAATGAGGATGGTTCGCTACAATGGGCGTGGCATGGCGGGTCGTAGCCGTGAAGGTTAGAACTGGTGGAATTTCCGTGGAAGTAGCGAGGGCTTGTGAAGTTTTATTTGTGAGAAAGGGATTTCAGGGTGGAAAATAATTCATCATCCACAAGGACGCGGAGACGCTTTTGGACTCTATCGAAATTGGAAAGTAAAGACTGTACAGCTCCTTCTCATATATGTAAGTGGTACTCCATTTTTGGCTTGATCTGATTCTTGTAAAGATAAAGGATAGCAGAAGGAGTCAGGTACTTACTGGAGCGGTACAGGAAACCGACCATTTTTCCAGCATCTTTAGTGATGTATTTAAGATTAAGTCCTAATGGGCGCTCAAGGCACGGAGCCTCCCTGAGAGAAAAGCCGTTCATCGTGATCGGTGAAGGTTGTGGGTCCAATAAATAATGATGGAATGTCACTAATTTGGTTTTCAAGGCATTCAATCAGACCAGCCAGTTTTTCCTCCACTGAGCTGTTAGAGCTCGGTGAGAGGAGAGATCAGCAGCCAGGTTTTGGTCATCTAGAGTCTTGG